GTCGGTGGCTGTTGTGACGACGTTCAACTCCTCAGCAACCGGGATTCAAAACTCAACATAATTTATGAAAAATATAATTTTTAGAGGCTCAGGAATTTAACAAAAAAAAAAAAGGGATTTGGCTCAGAAATGACACAACAACTCAAGGCACGACTAACGTCGGATTTCCGAAATAAGTTCATCGCCCCTAAATTCAAACGACGAACTCGACATGGTAAAAAAGCTCAGATTTTCAATTCGGCTTAAAACAGAAAATAAAGGTTCGACTAACTAAGAACAACAAACAGCATAGTATGAATTATACTCGATTTTTTCTGAATTAAGACTTAGAATCGACTAACATGAAAACATGAACTTATAATCTATTTTTTTCTTAAAGTTTTGAGGGTTTACTGTTTGCCGGTCAAAGGAGAAGAATCGGGGCTAAAAACGTTGATTGTTCTCGTCTCAGCCGCGCGAGAATCCTCGTCTCTGTCGTGGAAGAGCGTCGCTCCTGTTGCTGGAAGAAGCCTCGACCATAGTCGAACGTGCTCGGAAATATGCTCTGCCGCGGGCTACTTGCTCTCACTGCTCCAGTCGCGGGGTTCTGTTCCAACCTAGTATCTGGCGGTTATTATTGTTTTTGTCAATAATAACCTTATTTAATGAAGATAGAGATAAATATTTTGAGAAAAAGTGAAGAGTGAATATGAAAAGACGTAATGTATTTATTGGCTAAATGAGGGTAATAATGGAAAAATATGAACAAAAGATCCAAAACGACATTTATTTGACAAATAGTTGAAAAAGCTAGAATGACATTTAAAAAAAAAAATAGGAGGGAGTATTATTATATATATTTATATAGATTATGTATTTAATGATTTATTAACGTTTTAACATTATATGATCCAATTTTGTGATATTTAACTTGTGTCAAAAAGGATCAAGAAAGCTACAGTTTTTTGTATATTATCGAGTGCAATCTAACAGCAAGACCCACATTTTATGAATTTATGGTAAGACAATCACTAATGGTCGATATCAGAAAACTAACGGTTGTTGTAATGGGCTCTTGACGAATCACTACTCCACTTGATAACTATTGAAACAATGAGGTGGAGAAACAATGAGGTGGAGTCAGCATGTCCAGATACATGGTCTCTAGAGAAATCCACACGAGTTGGGTAAGCAACCCGAGTTCAAATCCAACTCAGTTTGGATTTAATTTTTGGACACAATTTTATAAATAGATTTGCAGCAAAAAGATTATAGTGGTGGACCAAAGACCTAAACCCAACACCGTCCAAGGCAACGCAAGTCCAATTCCAAAGACCGAGGTCTGAAATCCAAGTGCAAGGCCCAAGGCTCAACCTAGCCAACCGGACGGACGAGCACGTAGACCTGCCTAGGTCTACCGGGTCGGGTTTATAAACTATGATATAGAGTATTTTGTCATATAAATATACATAAAAATAACAAAATTAAATGTTTTTGTATTTAAAATTTGTAGATTAAAGTGGTAATAATATGTATTTCGTGATAAATATTTACTATATAAATATATATATTTATATAGTTTTATTTTTCACAACAAAAAAAAAAAGAATATATAGAGTTGACCCAACCGGGTCAATCCCGGGTCAAACCAGGTCAAGGGAGAGAGAGAGAGAGAGAGAGCATAAGGGGGTGATTGTTTACAAAATAATTTACTCACTTTTATTTCAACTCAAAATTTAACTCAACTTTAACTCAACCTCACTATCTTTAATATTATTCATATAATTAAATAATACAAACAAATCATTCTTACACATCACATCAACTTTAATTTACTATTCATCCACTCACATAATTTTAACTACCTATCATTTTCAATCATTTCCAATCATTTATCTTTTACTTTTACATCAAATCAATTTTAATTATTTTATTTTAAATATTATTTTAATACATTCTTAAAATTCCACTACAACTAACCATACCACCTTTTTCAAAATTAACTATAGTTAACCAAAATAATTCAATTTGAACAAATTATTTCATAAACAATCAAGCCCTAAGTACATTAAAAGCAGCATCTTACATACATAATTATACCTAAACCTGAGAAGTTGAAAATGCACCTTCATTCATGTCTTTTGGTAGTCAGACTTATCAGGAACAGATGATGCACCAACATTATACTTCTCGTACACCCTTTCTCGATTTTCTGACCACCAAGTCTCTGCTTGGTGCTCCCCAAATCTCCTCCGGCTGGACATGCAAGATGAAGGATTCATGAGAATTTTACTATAAATCATATTACACAACCACCAAAATAGTAAAGCTTAACTGCAAGAGAAGTCGTAACTTTTTGAAACATTACGAACTGAACCAAATTTTAAGATTGCAAATTATTAACACACACCGGGCATACAATATGTTATGTTATCACCATCACCATGCCTTGTACATAAATTAGGGGAAATTAAAGAATGAGATAGTTTTCATCACCTGAAGCGTACACGTTTCAGGTCCTTCGTCCCATCTTGAAGAGCCACGAGTGTTATATACACACCAGGCTCATACTGCTCAATCCATTCAGCTTCAATTTGGTTAGCATCACTTTCAACCATTGAGTTACTCGACCTTAACGTACTATTGCCAACATCTGGACAAGCCCCATTTGTGGCAGTCCCATTTGTTGTTCCATTGAAAGAGGGGGTGGGCCCAAGGTCTGATTTGAGTGAACCTTTTGTGTTGTTAGTGGCATCGTCAAGCGATTAAGATTCATCGAGATTTCCATTTGATGTAGCTAAATCAGCTCTTGCGTGAGCGCCCGAGTGGAATTTGGAAACCATTGATAATCTCGGATATGGACATTTTTGTGGTAGGATTATGCATCCCGTTTGACAAGTTAACCAACTTGAGGCTTTCCAGGTCATACGACTCGGGAGGTAATTTCTCGGCCATATCTTTGAGCTGAAAAGTAACATTGAGAAAAATATTAGATTATTCAAAAGAATTACAAACCATTATCCTACGATTAACCGTAACTACAAAAATTAGTCACTGGCATATCACTGAGGGTGTAACAACTCACAAGAGAAACAAATGTCCAGGGAATAATACTGAAAGGTAAAGGGTTAATTTCTAACAAAGTTAAACCTAATGGGCTCTCTCCAATAAACCAAAATTTAAATCTCGGGCGGAAGGAAAACTGAATTTAACCTGTATTGTAAGTGATCTTATAACTTCTTTAGCCGCATCACACTTAGCTGATTCCTCTCTAGCTAACGCCACTGATTCTTCAGCTTTTTTTGTCGATTTCTGTAGCTCAAGTTCTTGCAATTCATACTGATTTCTAAGACTTTGAACCTATATCACAATTTTCGTGTCTAATTTTAAAAGGAAAAAAAAAAATCTTCTCTAACATAGCTTAAAGCAAAAGCCATCTCAACGCCCGGCACATACCTCCAAACGCAACTTATGTAGTTCCTGATTTAAAAGCTCGTTTGTTTTCCTCAAACTATAGACAGCATTTTGCGTGAAAGAAAGCCCCGAGGCTGTGGGCACCGGCGTGGCCGATCTTGGAGGACTGGGTCTTCTCGAGAAGGGTGAGACGGCCCTTGAGCTAACGCTCGAGTGAAAGAATAGGTCTTGGAATATTTCTCACAGCAGAATTTTCTCCCTTTTTCCCCTGCCTGCTCGCTTTAGTATCCAGCGCCCTCATCAAGTCCAAGTTGGCTGGCAACAATGCTAACCTGGCAAATCTCAGATCAGCCCCGGAGATTCGTGAGACAGAATTCCTCCTAGCGTGGGCCCCGCCCTCCGCCGCCTTATTACTCAGTTTGACAAAGCAAGAATCGCACACGCGGTACTGTTTGCTACGGTCGAGAGCCAGCGCAGCCCGGCCCGCCTTTCTTGAGCTGCAAGCATGGCAGTGGGGAAGCCCGCAGTTGTAACAGTTGTGCCTCTTTCTCGTGAACCCGAAGGCCTGTCTGCAGGATGAGCACTGCCCAGAGACCCATCTGTGCAGGCATACAGCCGAGGTGTAGGTTGGGCCACACGCAATGGACTTGACGTGTTTGTCCTTGAGCGCCTCGACTAGAGTCGGCATCTTCTGGTCGTCCGTGTCCCCGTGACCCAAACTCCCATTGGCACCTTTGCCCAAGTGTAGATCTCGTTTTTAGATGTTAGAACGGCCACATGGTAGGCCCCACAGTCAATTTCCTCGACTGTTTCGCCGAAAAGAATAGGACAAGGTAA